GTCCGCGGGGCCACGCTCCTGGCTCGCTCCCAGCTCAGAATTTCACTTCTGCTGGGTTGGGGGGTGTTCTGTGCCGGGTCCCGGCCCAGCATCACAGCGGTGCTGGGTCTTGGGGTGAACACAGCGTGACAATCCTGTGCCTCCATCACGCCGTCTCGCTGCCTTCGACTTTGCTCAATTATGGGAGCCCCACGGCACCAGAAAATTCTTCCCCCCCATCGCCCCCCAGACCAGCAGCATGGTTGCACCATGGGCTCTGTTGGGGCATTTTGGCAGAGAGAAATCCCAGCTCTCACCTTCCCTGGGGACACCCCAAGGGGCCTTCGGCAGGGATGGGGTCACCCTGAATTAATCCCACCCTGTGGGAACGCAACCAACCCCCCCAGCCAAAGCTACAACCCCTCCTGTACGGCATGGGATTAACATCGCATTAGAAGAAATATTTTTAGAGGCACTGACTGCTCAAAACCAAGAACTGGAGAATAATCTACAGCTCCCTCCGTGGAGGGAACGAGATGGGAGCCTCTCTAGGGACAGCCAAGGGGCTCCTCCTCAGGGACATTGGTCCAGAATCCAGGTTCAGGATCCGGCCTCGCCCATACACCCTGCTACACCCTCCGGCCGTGATCACAAGGTGGGTTTAATTAGCAGTGCCTCCCAAGATGCTGCATACAGCCACTAAAAAGTCAATTAAAGGCGGATCCGTCGGAGGAATGATGCTTCAAGCTCCTGGACCACATCGGCAAACACTCTCAGCATCCATCCAGCCCCAGCCATGGTCCCTGCCCAGGGCTCGGGGCAGCGGGGACCCTTCCCAAGGCCACTCGGGGTGGCCGGGATGCACCGTGGGACCCACCTGCACACTTGGTGCGGCTGATGAGGGGTGGTCCCGGTTTGCCAGTGCCCCCCTCGCCGGGCCGGGTGAGCAGGACGCTGATCTCGTACTCCGTGTCCGGATCCAAGTGCCAGAGCTTGTAGGTTTGCATGTTGACAGCGTGGACCTCCGACCAGGGCCCCGAGGTCATGCGGTACTCGATCTCCTTGCGCACGATGGGGCCATCGCCGATGATGGAGTTGGTGTTGAGCTGGATGATGAGGTAAGTGGAGCCAGCCCGGAGCAGCTGGGGGGGTGCGATGGGTGTGGGGGGCTCTGGAAGAGAGCGGAGAAGGGGCAGGTGAAGCATCTCCTTCCAGAAGCAGCTCCACAGCATCCCCAGCCCTGGAGCCAGGCCAACACCGGCACAACCACAGGGACCACAATTTCATTTTCTCTTTTTTATTCGCTACAGGCGCCACGTTCATAACATCTCTTCCCAAACAAACCCACCACCTTTGCGCGGCAGGGCACGGGACAAACTCAGATCCCCTGCCCAGAGGAGGTGGGGATGGACACCGACGTACGGGAGGGCACCATCCAGTCTTTCAACTTCCCCCTGTGCAGCAAACACCCTCCATCACTTTTAGTAAGGCTTTAACAGCTGCAATAGGGTTTCATCTGATCAAACCTTAATTATCTTTATAAGATACACTGCCCAGCGTGGTGCTGCACAGTTTCACCATAATTAATTAATTCCCACCTACTGCAATCAAAAATAAATGATCTAAGGCCACTGGCAAAGGTAGTTCCCTGGTTTTACACCAACCCATCTGCATGGAGCAACTCATTCGCAGCAAGACACTGCGATCCCACCACCCCCAGCATCCCACCTTCCTCTTCCTCTGCAAACAGCGGAGCAGAAATAGCCCATCCGCTATCCAGAAACCTGACGGGCAACAGCAAATCACCCACCTTTCACGATAAGCTCGGCGAAGTTGGAGACGCCCGAGCCACGGCTGGACTGGGTGACGCAGCGGTAGAGATCCTGCTCCTCCTTGGACACCTCGTCCAGCTGGAAGGTGGCCAGGAAGCGCCGATGGCTGATGTGCTTCACCGAGGCGGCAGGGACCACCTCGCCGCTCTGCCTCTGCCCCACGGGGAGAGACGAGACATCACCAGAAGGCACAACGTGACATCCAGAGCCACCAAATACATGCTCCCCAAAAAAATGAGGGAGGGATTGCCCTTCTCCCCCGGCTTTGCCTAGCAAGGTCTTCTCCCAAAGGGGAGGCACGGAGGCGTTGCAGAAGGGATGCACAGTGGAGATGCTGGTTTCACCACCGCCGTCCGCTCACCTGCATGAGGAACCGCTCGGCCTCGGCGGCCTTGCCGGCGGCCACGCACTGGAAGGTGGCATTCTGCCCCGCGTTGACCTCCACGTCGCCCAGGCGGGAGAAATGAGGTGCTTTCGCTGCCAAGGGATGCAAGGGAGAAGTGACGAAGCAGCTGAGCTCCGAGGGGATCCACGGTAGCATTGCTGCAAAAATCCCACCACAGCCCAAAAACCCACCCAGGACACCAGGGCTTTTTTTAGGCAGGGTTTGATCCCCATCCTCACAGCCCAGCTCGGAGTCAGGAATTTGTTCCCGTCCCCGTAAAACCAGCCGCTGTCCCAGGGAGGGACGCAGCCTTCCTCTCCAGCATCCCACAGTGCTGGTACTGGATGGGGTTGATAGAGGGGGACAGGTCTCCTCCTGGAAGAAATAGGGGGTGAAGCCCAACAGCCAACGTCTTGGGACAGCCTGGGATTTTAGGTCCCCCCCAGCCCTGGTGGCCCCTCTCGATGGGGACGCTCAGCCCACATGTTCAGTCTGCGCTTCTCCGAGGTTTTATGAAAACAAAGCGACGTTGGAGCTGGTGGGGATGGAGATGGACAAAGGAGCCCCAGAGGTAGCCAGGAGATGGAACT